GTGTGCTGTTTTAAAAACTCTGTCTATGCTGTAGAACAGAACTGTCTCTTACAAATGCACTGACATAATAACTGGACTTCTTGTCAGTAGGCATGTAGCTGGGGGGAGGACGGGACGGGGGGGGAGCATGGTGTTGGCCAGGTTTGCTTTAAGGAAAAATTGCCATCCAGACCTGAAGGAGTTATTAGCTCCAGTCTGAGCAAGGCAGTCAAAAGTGGTAGGACAAAGCACAGGAATTATAACCATAATAAAAGAAATTAAGCCACATATCTCTGGAGGGGTAGGGTTCGGCAGCTATCAGCATCCCATCATGCTTCTGATGATCAATCCAAAGCTTGCAGGAGGGAAGGGGAAGCAGAAGGACCTTGTGCAATGAAACGCTCAGCATCAAACCCAGAGGAAGGTCAACAGGGAGGGCCTTGTTATTGCCCATACGCTTCCACTTTCCTCCTCGCTGGCTGCTTCCAGAACACCATTCATGAAGGAGATTAAAACTAAATCCATAGTTGCTCTTCCTCCACTGCGGTGTCTGCCTGCTCTGCAAGCTGAGATTGGTTGTGGAAAGTCTTTATGCTCCTGGCGTCCTAGCGTGGCTGCCCACAGGCCTCCCTTCTGCTCTCCTAGAACTGCTACTGGTGTGGCTGTGAACAGCTAATGCTGCAGTTTGTGGAGGGATGCAGGAGACACAGCTCCCTGATGCAGCAGGGACCACACGAGGTTGCATGAGTAGCTTTTGTAGTCCAGTGTCCTGCCCTGTGCCAGTCAGGCATCTTCCTTTGTGGTGCAAAATCAGGGAACAGCATTGTCCTGGGGTGTTTGTTTTTAACTTCAGCAGTTAACAGTTTGAACATATTCATACCTAAGGGTTTGCTCTTTTATTTATTCAATGTAATTCAAGGGGGAGTGTGATGTCTTGAAGGCTGGACAGCTGCAGCCTGTCCACCTGTTCATCAGATACTGTGGGGAGGACACATAGCAAGGAGAGACCACCTGGACCCTCATGGCAGCAGAAGACCATGTATTCAGGGAATGACTCGGGCTGCATGTAGTTGTGGCACACACGATAGGTGTGGTAACCTGTGGGGAAGAGAGTGCTGCACACATCTCAGCAGTGCTGTCCACAGAGGAGCAGACAGTACAGTCAAGTTCTCCACAGGGAATGGGAGCAGATTGGCCTGCTTCCCGGCTGTGGTCCAGATGCCGAGCCCCTGAGACTTACTGATGAATGCAGATTATCCAGTTGTATCCAAATATTTCTACCCATCTTCAAAAGAAACCCCAAACCAAGTCAGCAAATGCAGGGACTGGACTGGGGGTACCAAATTGTTGGTTTGTCAGTGTTTTGGCTGTATCTAGTCCCATGTTTTATTGATAAGGTTTTGTTTTGGTTTTGTTTTCTTTTTTTTTTTTTTTTTTTTTTTTAGCCAGGTGCTTTCAACCTGGACAATCTAGAGTGCATTTGCTCTGGATAACACATTGAAGACACAAGTGGTGAGAGTCTGAGGTGCTTTTAGTATTGCATTGGAGCCCATGCAGGTCTGCATTACTTAGCAAACATTAGCAGCAGCAGTCAGATGAGAAGCCTGATGATAAATCAGTTGTGAGGGACAAGAGGGGACAACATCACCTTGCGGTCCTGTTGAAATTCCAGTTTACCGACTGAGGTCTGAGAGGTCTACAAGGATGGAAAAGCAGGAGCAAGCTTCAGCTCAGCTTTATTTTAGTGTTTAGAAGTAACACCGAAAAGGTATAGATTTTTATTATTTTAGCATCTGCACAGATTTGGATGCTGCTTTCCTATCTATCCCTCACAGAACCAGATTTTAGAAGCAGTTTCCCTGGACATTGAAAACAAGTATTGTCAACTCTCTTTTGGGAAAGTTCACTTGTCAAATCTTATGCAGTCTAGTTTCACCATGTAAAAGCTAAGGCAGCATAAAATGCTGCACAGTGCTTCCTACCTTGTTCAGCATGGACATGTTAGCAAATTTACCTCCAAGTATTGGCACAGTTACAGTGCTTTATTTTTGTTTTTCCTATATGGGCCAGGCCAGTTATTCTCCACTGCTAGCTCTCCTGCTAGGTACATTAAGGCAGTGAGAGTGCTAATGTGCTTTCTTCTCCTGTTGCTCAGTCTCATCGCTGGTTGATTTTTTTTTTCAGTGACTTTCTCAGTAGTATTCTCCAGTAGACTCTCAGGTAGTTGTGGGGCCAGTGAATTGTTTTTCACTCTGCTTAGCAGCCTGGCTGGCGAGTACCACCTGTAGCAACTGCTGGGTGAAAATTACCAAGCCCTTTATGAACAGCCTAGGAATTCAAAATCATTGGCAGTTTTCTGAGGATCTCTAAATAGAAGCAAAAGAAAATGACGTCTTCTGTTTTTTCAATTTACTAGGGTCACCGTAGAATTTTCCTGTAGGACAAGGGAGGCTGGAAATGTTCTCTGTTTTGAAGATCTCATATTCTCGTGTATATGTTCATGGCTTTGGGAGATGAGTCATTGCTCCTGTGAGGAGAGATTGAAGGAGCTGGGACTGTTCAGTTTGAGGAAGAGAAGGCTCAGAGACCTCATCACTCCCTATAACTACCTGAAAGGACATTGTAGAGAGCTTGGTGCTGGTCTCTTCTCACAGGTGATCAGTGACAGAACAAGAGGGAACAGCTTTAAACTCCAGCAGGGGAAGTTCAGACTGGATATTAGGAAAAAAATTTTCACAGAAGGAGTGGTCAGACAGTGGAATATGCTGCCCAGGGAGGTGTTGGAGTCACCATCCCAGGATGTGTTTAAGGGTCGTTTGGATGAGATGCTGGGGGATATGGTGTAGGGGAGAACTTTGTAGAGTAGGGCTGATGGTTGGACTCGATGATCCCACTGGTCTTTTCCAACCTGAAAGATTCTATGATTCTGTGGTTTAGAGCACCACCGGGTTAGGGCACACTGTGGGACAGGACTTTTCTGTCATGGCATATAATGTTTTGTGGAAGGATGCACACTATTTCTTTAAAAATGTAGCCTGGGGGAGATGAGGGAGAGTTCTTGGCAGAACCTTTTGCATGGAGCAGTGTGATAGAACAGCCAGGGAATATATTGCATGCTAATAAAGTTCCTTCTTCAGTGTGAAAAGTGCATGCTTTGTGAGTGGCAGCGGGTCTTTTTTTACCTTTTGACATTCTAACTTGACCCATAATGAGGCATCCACCAGCACGCCTTTTCAGTCCTTTCCAAAGATCTGCCAAAACTAAAGAGTTTTTTTTGAGAATAATCTGTGACCCAGCAAGGTTGGCTGTAAGGTTTGTTTGTTTTTCTCTCTCCCGCTGGTTCCTACTATTCTCTTACTCCCACATCCTATCGGACTCTTGTTTTCAAATGCATTCTTCAGCCTTCTCCTTCCCTACCTACTGCATCCTGTGTTCTGCTTTCTGACTTCCTTCTCTTTTCTTATAGCTTTTCTTTCCAGTTCCTGTTCGTTCTGGTCCCCGAGGAGCAAGGAGTGAAACATTAACAGTTGCTGGAGGACCAAGTTAATATGGCTGTTGTTATGAGTTTAGAGTTCAGGTGAGGGCTCCAGGAGACATCCTTTGTGTACAGCATTGTGCCCCGGAGCTCTTTGTAGCACTTCATTGCTGGGGCAGCAGAGAGGAATGTGTATCTGTGCTTCACCCACTACCTTCTATAGCCCAGCATTTAAGATAAAAGTACTGATAAAAGTTGATCTTTCCTAAGATATGGATGTTTCAGTTATTGCAAGTTAGTTAACAGATGGTAAATTGCTCTGCACTTACACTTCACTGCCTGTCTCAGTTACAGGGAAGTTGAAAAGCTTCAGACATAGGGTAAGCAAGGTGTCTTGAAAGGGGATATAGGGGTTACAGGTACTTTGACAGTGGTTTGAAAAACACGTCATTTCACAGTACATTCAGTGTGCATACCTATGTCTTTTCTAAGCCATATTGCTGTTTTTACCACAAGGCTTTTACATTAGTAGGGGATATATCCCTGTGTTATCTGTACCTCTTTGTCAGTTGAGGATCACCATCCTCATAAATCTGTGCTTACAATATGTGCAGGAACTTCCCGTGCTGATGTCAACGTATCTTGAATATAAATCACAGACATAAAATATTTATATTACTAATAATTTCTCCTTTGAAATGTTGCACGAGTAAGGATGGAAAATGTAGGTCTTAGCTTTATGAGGATACACCTAATTTGTGTATTGTGAGCTTTTGTATTGTCTGAAAATACAGCTTTACAGACTGTATAAAGAAGAGCATTTTCCATCAGAGGTTAGCTGTAGCCAAAGGTTTGATTAGTCTCACCCTTGCACTCCACAAAATCTACTATTGTAAATGAAAATGTGCCTGGAAGAAGAAACTTTTAAACATAACAGTCAGTGTGCTGGCAAATCTTCCTGTTAATACCTTATGCCTGTGATGGCCAGATGGTTATTAGTTGTGTGCTATTGTAATATTATGTCCTGCTGGTTTATTTATAACCAGGATTGATCCATTTATGTATGGATGCATATAGGAATTAGGTTTCATTTTTAATCTTATTGTACATATTTTTGCATATGCAAAGCATAAGGAGGAGTCCACCTTGTAAAGCAGGTTTGGTATAAATGGATTGGTGAGTAGATATACCTGTCCTGTTGGGATATTATGTACTTTTACCAACGTCATCCTAACAGAGAAATAAATGTAATGGAATTAAAATCTGGTGTATTTTTTATCTATACATGTATAAAGTATCACTGCTTTGCAGATTTCTAGATGATTTTACATAGTTTTCAGTTAACTTTTGGAACTTAAAATATTTGGTTTGGGAATGTAACTGTAGTAGGTAGTTATTTCTTGAAAGATGACCTAGGTTGTTAATGAAAAAAAACCTTAGAAAATGAAGGTGATTTTAAAAATGGAGAAATACACCTATATATTTTTTTTAAAAAAATACTTATTTATTTTTTTTAGTTTAATGCATGTCTTTTAACTTCTTTCAGGCTGAAAAAACTTCTTGAGCAGGAGAAGATCTATCAAGCCCGGAAGGAAAAGGAACATACAAAGAGACTCACTAAACTAAGAGAAGAACTAGTCAAGCTCAAATCATTTGCACTCATGCTGGTGGATGAAAGACAAATGCATATTGAACAACTTGGGCAACAAAGCCAGAAAATACAGGACTTAAATCAAAAACTAAAGGAAGAAGAAGAAAAGCTTAAAATTATTAGTGCAAAAACAAAAGAAGATGGACAAAAACTGATGAAGTTAGAGGCAGAACTTGAACATAAAACATCATCATTTTCTCAAGAACATGAGGAAATGACTGCTAAACTGGCTAATCAAGAGTCACATAATAGACAGCTAAGGCTTAAGCTAGTGGGGTTGACTCGCAGAATAGAGGAGCTAGAAGAAACTAACAAAAATCTTCAAAAAGCTGAGGAGGAGCTTCAAGAACTAAGGGATAAAATAGCAAAAGGGGAATGTGGGAACTCTAGCTTAATGGCAGAAGTGGAAAACCTGCGCAAGCGTGTGCTTGAAATGGAGGGGAAAGATGAAGAGATCACAAAAACTGAATCCCAGTGCAAAGAGCTGAAAAATAAACTGCAAGAGGAAGAACACCATAGCAAAGAGTTGAAACTTGAAGTGGAAAAATTGCAGAAAAGAATGTCAGAACTAGAGAAGCTAGAAGAGGCTTTCAGTAAAAGTAAGTCTGAATGCACCCAGCTACACTTAAGCTTGGAGAAAGAAAAGAATTTGACTAAGGATTTGATAAATGAGTTGGAATTGGTGAAGACTCGAGTTAAAGACCTTGAGGCATCAGAAAGCAAGTTGGAAAAGGCTGAAATAAGCTTAAAAGATGACCTTACAAAGCTGAAATCATTTACTGTAATGTTGGTTGATGAACGAAAAAATATGATGGAAAAAATAAAACAGGAGGAGAAAAAGGTTGAGTGTCTAAACAAGAATTTTAAAGTGGAACAAGGGAAAGTTATGGATGTAACAGAGAAACTGATAGAAGAAAGTAAGAAATTTTTGAAACTGAAATCTGAAATGGAGGAAAAAGTGTCTTGTTTGACAAAGGAAAGGGATGAGTTAATTGGCAAACTGAGAAGTGAAGAAGAAAAATCCTCTGAACTAAGCTGTAGAGTTGACCTGTTAAAGAAAAGAATTGATGGTATGGAGGAAGTAGAAAGAGAAATTACAAGAGGTCGAACCAGGAAAGGACCAGAGCATGGCTGTCATGAGGACAACAAGATTAAAGAACTTACTGTTGAAATTGAAAGACTGAAAAAGCGTCTCAAACAATTGGAAGTGGTTGAAGGAGATTTGATGAAAACAGAAGATGAATATGATCAGCTAGAGCAGAAATTTAGGACTGAGCAGGATAAAGCTAACTTTCTTTCTCAACAGCTGGAGGAGATGAAACTCCAGATTGCCAAAACCAAAGCAATAGAAAAAGGTGAAGCAGTGAGCCAGGAGGCAGAGTTGAGGCATAGGTTTCGTCTGGAAGAGGCCAAAAGCAGAGATTTGAAAGCAGAAGTTCAAGCCCTTAAGGAAAAAATCCATGAGCTGATGAACAAAGAAGACCAGCTTTCTCAGCTCCAAGTTGATTATTCGGTTCTGCAGCAAAGGTTTATGGAAGAAGAAAATAAAAACAAGAGCATGGGGCAGGAAGTTCTGAACCTAACAAAAGAGCTGGAGCTTTCTAAGCGTTACAGCCGTGCGCTGAGACCCAGCATAAACGGACGAAGAATGGTCGATGTTCCCGTGACATCCACCGGTGTGCAAACAGATGCTGTAAGCAGCGAAGCAGCAGAAGAAGAAACTCCAGCAGTGTTTATAAGGAAATCCTTCCAGGAGGAAAATCACATCATGAGCAATCTGCGACAGGTAGGTCTGAAAAAACCCATGGAGCGTTCTTCAGTGCTTGAGAGGTATCCTCCAGCAGCAAATGAACTTGCAATGAGGAAATCTTGGATACCATGGATGAGAAAGAGGGAAGCTGGGGCTCAGGGAACTCCTGATAAAGGACCCCGAATGCACGGTAGTCCAGCACATCCAGGGGAGGTTGTCCTTTCACCAAAACAGGGCCAACCTCTTCATATTCGGGTGACACCAGACCACGAGAACAGCACAGCTACTTTGGAGATAACCAGTCCAACCTCAGAGGAATTTTTTTCAAGTACCACTGTCATTCCTACTTTGGGAAATCAGAAGCCACGAATAACCATCATTCCCTCTCCAAACGTTATGCCACAAAAAGGAAAAGGCAGTGAAAGTCCCATGGGCCCAGATCGTTCTGTGTCTCCTGTCACTATAACAACATTCTCCAGGGAAAAGTCCCCAGAGGGAGGGAGGACACCTTTTGCCGACAGACCTGCATCACCAATTCAGATTATGACAGTATCAACATCTGCAGCACCGGCAGAAATCTCTGTCTCTCCTCAGTCACAAGATATGACCATGGGAAGGGCTGTCTTCAAAGTGACACCAGAAAAACAAACCGTCCCAACTCCAATCCGCAAGTATAATGCCAATGCAAACATTATTACGACAGAAGACAACAAAATCCACATCCACTTAGGTTCCCAGTTTAAACGCTCTCCCAGTGCTGCACCTGATGGTGCAAGTCCTGTGATAACAGTCAGACCGATGAACATAGCAGCAGAGAAAGAACTTGCGACCGGTACCGTTCTTCGATCGCCCCGGAACAACCTGTCCTCGCGACCTGCAGCAAGCAAGGTGACAAGTACTATCACTATAACGCCTGTTACAACATCTTCCACCCGAGGAACACAATCAGTGGTAAGCAGTGTAGTCTCATGATGTAGTCTTCATAGTAAGGAGAAAGGCGACCATAGTTTGGGTTTGAGAGGCCAGCAGGGAAAATGGGTGGGGCAAGGAGAAACTCTTGACTTCCCTACATTTGTTTCAAATACGGGCTTAACTATAAAATCAGAATTTGCCTTATTCATATATTTTTGTACCAGTGTTGGGTGCTGGTATACTTTTGGCATTATCTCCCAAAGGAGTAACTTTCAAAGGAAGTCCCTTTGAAGTTCCTCCTGTAAACACTCATAATGATTTTTGGCCCAGCTGGTGGGTCTTTAGAGTCTGATCATGCAGGCTGGTATTCTTTGGCATAATCCCATTATAGTAATAATTCAATTACTATCTGCTGTAGTACTGAACTCCGAAGGAATAAGTAGGCACACATGCTATCACTGCTTACAACTCCAAGCCTCTTTCAGCCAGTGAATAGTAAAGCTTTTTCTGTTCCTCTGAAATTCTCAACTTCTGTAAGTGCTGTATTACAATAGTGCTTCCTCTAACATATTTTTTTCTGCTTTCTTTCTGTGCCTCTGTGGTGGCACCCTGACTTCTTTTTCATACCCTGACTTCTTTTTCATACTTAAATCAGTCTCTCACCTTTGTCTCTAAACATATTGGACGTATTTATTGATAGTCCTCCCCCAGGTTTATTATTGGACATGGTTTTGCATTGCTTTAGTTGGAAATACTCTGGGAAAGAAAAATTTAACCAAAATAGAAAGCCAGCAATACTGTATTAGTCCAAAAGCTTATTTAGCTAGACAGAGCCTGCAGCAGATGCTTGGGGGAAGATTATTTTCAGCGTCTGTTCCCAGTTTTTGGCAATAGGTAGGTATTTCTTTCTGAACCAGGGCCTGTAGACACATCTTTGTGTTTAATAGACCGTGGCAGAGTTTTCTTCTATTTATTCATCTAATTGCTTTTTGAACTCATTTATACTGTTGTTTCCACAACATCAGGGGGCACTGAATTCAGTTGTGGGCTCTGGGAAAAATGCTCTTTTGTTTGATACCTTTTATGCAGTACCTTCATTGGTTACAGCCTCTTTCTTGTATCTTGACAAATACTGAATAGTCATCCCCTGTTCATTTGTTCATGCCGCTCAGGAGTCTGCAGAACCCTACAACACAGCTCTTCAGCCATCTCTTTCCAAGCTGAAATGTCAAAGTGTATTTAAGATACGCTTCCACACTTTTGGAGAGAGGCTGCCATTCCCATTTAAGCCCTCTGACTTGAGAAAACTTATGTACATCATGTGGATCTATTTGGAATTTTACATGTGCGCTCTCTCTCTTTCTCCCCACATATATAATGTATTGTAGCTACTTTACAGTGTTTTCCTACTATTAGAGGCAACTGTTCATTTTTTAAAAAGTCTTGAAGCAATTAATTTACAAACTCCTTTGTCTCTCAGAAGCTTGAAAAACTTTTTTTTTAAGAGTTCCACATTCATTTTTATGAGATGTCTGTCTCTACTGTGATGATGCACTGAACTGTGGCAGACAAAACTTTTTTGTTTTGTTTTCATCTAGCTATAAAGTGGCTTCTTTCTTCACTTCATTCTCACTGATTTGGAATGTGAGGAAAATAGTTCAACCATAAGATTTACTTTATCTTACGCTTCCCTTTGTTTTTTAAGGTCCCTAGTCAGATGAGTGGGGAACTTTGAACTAGTCCAAATGTGCTTTTTCCTCCCAAACCCCCTGAAAAAAAATAGAATTTCTATGCTCACCATCTGTTTTGCAAATGACTACTTTACAAACACATTTCAATACCCCTAGTCAGAAAAAACAAGTTGTGATAATTTGCTCAGTAACCCTAGAAGAAACCAATATCGATATAATTTTAAGGGTTTAAGTTCAAAAATCAGAGAAGACAAACTGATACATAGCTGGTTTCAATTTTTTTCTTAACTCTCCTCATACAAGATGCTTTGTACAATGTACTAATGCAGTGCCAAGCTACAAAGGGGAAAATAATTCTGAAATTCCTGGCTCTCATCTGTTGCTATAACAAATTTGCAGTTACTGTTTTCATATTTGAAAACATCTAACTCTTCCAATTTGAATTTATAGTTATCTTCATTGTGGCAGGTGAAGTCAATTTTAAGGTGCACACATGGTACTTTTAAAGATTCAGCCTGAAGTGTGGTGTCTACCTGTGTATGTGAGTTCAGAGTCAGACTGTGGTTTCATGATGGACTATCATGATTTATGAATTGCATGGATTATGGTTGTGTTGATTTACACAGACATACACTCTGGAGTAGCTAGAGATTTATATATTTCCCTGATCCAAGCCCTCTTCTGAGTCTGCAACAGTTTTGATTTAGATAAAATGAGACCCTCATCCAAAGAAAGACACTGGTACCTGCAGGAGAACTTGGGAAATCTTTGAGCACTTAAACAAAAAGATGAACCAAAAAAGGCACCGGTCAGTGACTGTGTCTCCACTGCCATGTGAGCTCACTGGACCCAAATGTTTTGGAGGCACTTCATGTTCTGCCTGCTGCACAAGCACAGGGCTGGCCAGCTGAGCAGCTGGCCTTGTCACACCAGTGCTGCCACCCACCCTAGTCCAGTCCCAGGGATCTCCATGGCAAGAGCTGATGTCATGTTGACCAGTTGGATTGAATTCAGCCTTTAACAGAACCATTGCCACTTTGATTAAAAAAAAAAAAAAAAAGAACCAAACTTTAAGCTGGTAACTGCCCTTTATATGATAGCCTATGGATTTGGATAATTACCACAGAACTGTAAAAAATGGGGTTTGCTCCTCCTTAGCTTGATTTGAGTCAAACCCGCTCCCAGGAAAATACTTGGACTATCCTAGCAGATTTAGCAGGTAAATTTTTTATTACAGATGGACCACAGCACAACCAAAAATTCAAGACTCTGAGACCAGAGGATATGCAGACCAAAATGAGCCTGAAACTAGCCTGGTTCTTAGTCTCATCTTAGCACATTAGCCCCAAGTCCCTGTTCACAGAACAGTTAATACAGTTTACAGTAAAAACCCCACAGAATAAAAACAAATATTCTTGGGGAAAAAACCCAAACTGTGGTGCCCCTATCTAAGAAATGCTTTTTGATTTAGGCCTTATATTTAGCTGTAGGATTGCTGGTGAATTTGGATCTTTTTGGCTACAAGGATGGCTGTTAGTCTTATAATCACTTTATCCCTGTGCTTCCCACCTCCTAGAAGCCTGGCATCCAGCACCAGATGTTTATGCTGCCAGGGTACACAGTGAATCTGGTGACATGAAATCTGCAGGGAGCAGAGGGAATCCCAGCTGCAGCAGAGCCAGCATAGTGGCACAGCACCAACCATGCAGGGTGTCCTGTGACGAAGGCAGCAAGGCATGGCTGAAAGGCTCTTGGCTGCCAGAGCTAACTGGGTGCTTGTTAACACAGCTGTAAGGCTACTTTTTATTTGGGCAGCATTTAGTTTGAGATCAACATCTAAATTTAGCTCTTTGTAGGTGTCCCCTATATGCTCTTAAGCTTCTTTTAGAGTTACCAGTAATCTAGGGGTCAGCTCACTTGCCCACATAGGGGTGCATGGTGCTATCTGCATGCGCGATGGCGGTTGAGACACATGTGTGAGTCTGGTACGTATAACATGGACTTGTAGTTTCTGCAGTGAAAGCTGACAGGATACTTCAGATGGCACAAGCTGCCTCAGTGCGGACAACTGAGTCAGTCCCTAGTCATCAGTCCCCTTATCAGCCCTGAGCCCTGTGTGCTCACTCCGCGGAGACTGGAGGGTGATGCAGCTGAGACCTCCGTCCTGTCCCTACCTTCAGTGTGAGCTGAATTGCCCACTGGGCTCCACTGACTGTATTGACTAGATAGTTAACCCTTTCACGATTCAGTTGCCTAAACATGCTTCTTTAGTGTCATGTTAAGTGCTGTGAAGTAGTCTACCGAACTTCCAGCTGCTTTATCAGAGGTTGCAGGTCTCCTTGGGTTCTCTGCCTTATCTACCAGCCCTGTGCAGACAGCTTAAGTAGCCCAGGGCATCTCAAATTGCACTAGCTAGCTATGTCAGCTGCTGAACCGAACCATTGCTGTCCAGGGCAAGCTGGTTCCTGATCTGATCGGGAACAAGTGCTGAAAAAGCACCTTTGTTATTAAAATATTTCAAAAGTGAATGTGTGCATGAAAGCACTCTTTGTGTCAATAAAATGCCTTAAGCAGAATCTGTTATACACCACTAAAACACGCCAAGTGTACTGTATATTCAAATTGCTTTCCTTCCTTTAATGGGACTGTCCAACCTTACTGCCACCTCACAGCTTAATAGACCTGCCAGTGTCTGCAATGAGCGCTGATTATTGACCTAACTAGCTTAGAGGCTGCGTGTATTTTTCTCACTCTAACACGTATTTACTAACCTCGCTCTGGCCCCCTGTGCTGTCCCAGCACCACGTCCTGCCAGCTAGGAGCCAGCCAGCATCACTCTGCGTCCTGCCGGCCTGTGGCTCGGGCACAAGTTGGTTTCTGGTTGGAGCCGCATTCCTGCTATCAGCCAGAAGACAACAGCCTACAAACAGGACTGGAGGAATTTGCTCAGAGCTTGGTTTTTGGAAGAACTGACCAAGAGCCAGACAGTCCTGTGGGTTCTCTGCCACAGACACTACGGATGGGTACTGAAGAGTGTCACTGTCAGCAAAGGGGACTGCTTGGTGAACAGCCACCTTTGTGCCATTTCACTTCGCAGACGCAAAATGCTTTTGCAGATGCACGTGAAGCAGGCATTAGCTTCCATAGGATCAACATGTTAATTCACCATAAGCAAAGCAACTAAGAAATTTAAAGCAAGTTGGAGTTCTTTCCAAAGTGCTTTTGAATGATTTAGGCTTGAAATGAGTAACTTGAAAGGCCCAAATCCTTAGTTAATAATTTACATGTGAATAAAGCTGAAAAATGCCTGAGATTCCAGCTACTTCATTTGATTGCCTCATGTTTACACACTGTGGAGCTCTTTCAGTGAGTACAAGATGTTTGTCATTTGGGTTCCCTGGGATGTTGACATATTTTCCGAGGCTGATGGAATGCATTTGCATGTTTTACCCTACAGAATTGTATGGGCCTAACTTGTTTTGACATCTACATGTGAGTTCCATATTAGCCTTTAGACTGCTATTGTAAATGTTGCTTTTAGTTATTGAAAATGGCTTCCTTCCTGCCAGGCAGACAGCATTCAAGTTTTCCAATTGTGATTTTTTTTTTGTGTGTGTGTATACACATGGGGTTTTGAACTGTTCTTAGAAGATTAAGGAATGGTTTTCCTTTGAATACTCAGGATGCAGACAGAAGGCTCTGATGCTACTGGCTGGAAATCCTTCGAGAGAGAAAAATGCTCCTTCGTGGAGCATTTTTAAGAGCATTTTGAAATAAATGCAAATACATGTTGTAGTCGATGTGATTCCCTAATCTGGTCTATTTCAGCAGTTTAGTTTTATTTTGCTTACATGTCATAAGTTGCAGAATTTAGTCATTTAGCCGACAGGTCTAGCTAGGATTCCAGGATCTCATGAGAACAGTTCTCTTCTGTGAGATCAAAGTCTTTGTCCATTATCTGAACAGAAAAAAGTCCCATATGAAATTCAGCTGAGACACTGAAGTTGTCACCATTAACATTTGCGTCTGTACTGCACGCTACAAAAGATAAAACACGTTTTTGTTTCAGATTTGTCATGGTTATAAATATTTTCTTTAGGTCATGGTCCATAAAGGGTAGCTTCCAGTTTTGGCCTTGCACAGTATGTGCAACATTGTCCGGCAAATGTAGATAGAAAATACCAGTTGACCCTTCTGAATATTTTTGTCCTATCCAAGTGCTCATTCTGCATTTATATGGTGGAATTCAGTTGCCTAAATGTATGTACTGATTGCATTTTCAAAGCTACAGAGTAGCCAGCCTGGTCTCCAGCTGGTGGTCCAGAAGGGCACAGATCACTTATAGAAGCCACGTTGGGTCTGCCAGCCCCATACTTGGGTCCTCAACCACTTAGGCCTTTTGTTTTGTTCTGAAGTCCTCACACTTGAGGATAAGTGTGCTTGATAGGCGGTTGTCCAGGGCAGAAGACTGGCAGAGATAGTAAAGTGACAATGCCTGCACTGCCTTGAGGTATGCCGGGAAATCTGGGCTGCCTGCTTCACCCTCACCAGAGTTCATCAAGTAGTGGCTGTGGCTGGGAGGGGGAGAGCCCTCTCCCACATCCCTCCTCCCACAGCCACAGGAAAAGGAAATCCATACCTTTGCTCTGTCTCTCTCTCCCACCCCCTTGCATGTCCCAGTGCAGAAATAAGTGTCCCCAGCATACTTTGGGAAGCAAAGTTCAATATAATGCTGAGAAATCTTGCCCCAGCTCTCAAAATATGGCAGTTACTCTGGGTTCAGCATTAGCCTTACATGACTATACTGAGACCCTATGCTAGTCTCTGTACAAGATGTTAATATTGTACCTGTCCGACATGTAAACCAGTGTTTCGGTAGCCTCTCTCAGGCTCTCCTGCATTGTGTCGTGCTGTAGAATTGGAGTTTTCCAGGCATTCCCATCCCTATGACATCTTGATCCAAAACACCGGACCCCAGCTCTGGGAAACTTGATCCCAGCTGTACCTTTGGCCCTATTCTAGCAGTATGTGCTATGGCCAGGTTCCAGATGTGACATTAATTTGCTAATAGGTGTGATCTGGGACATTGTTGCTTGAGAGGTAAAGGAAGAGCCAATGAAAAATAAAACATGAGCATATATCAGAAGGGAAAGTCCTCCATTCATGTAACATCTCTGTCTCTCTCTTTTGCAGACAGGACAGGATGGGTCATCCCCGAGACCTACACCCACCCGCATTCCTGTGTCAAAAGGTATGAAAGCAGGAAAGCCAGTAGTGGCAGCCCCAGGAGCAGGAAATGTGACAAAATTCGAGCCTCGTGCCGAGACTCAGTCTATGAAAATAGAACTGAAGAAATCTTCAGCCAGCAGCTCTGCCTCCCTGTGCGGGGGTCAGGGTTGATGGCGGTGGCTCAGGGGGTATGTTCTGCAGGTTTTGCTGCTACCATGGAAGTCAGCTCCCTGTCTGTGTAGTTGCTCACATTTGCCTGTACTAATTGAAGTCCTGCAGCTGTCACTTACAACGAACTAATGTGTGTGCACTGACTACTTAAGTAACAACATCCTTTTGTTTTCTTACTGAAGTTTACAAAAGAAAAAAAAAAAAAGCCATCAAAAAGGCAGTTGTACACCAGGAAGATTTTCAGCCTAGGAAGGGAGAATGGGGCAACTGCACTAGGTTATTAATCTAGTTCAGGAATTCTTAATGATAGACTTGGTCACTTTTTAATAGATTGAAGGAAGTTTGGTCACTTTTTCTAGATTGTCTTCCACCTTAATGGATAACTTTCCACCTTTGCTATTGCATGGGGCACTTCTGCCTGTGATCACATTACTGAGATGCTACTTTGCCTAGGGAACCAATGCCAGGAGTCAGCACACTTGAGATCCTGTTTTAGTGAAAGCTAGTACCTCAGGTGTGGGAGGGAGGGGAAGCCCAGCCTTCTTATGGAGTCTCCTGTCCAAATCAGCGTTTCTCAGCGGTGAGCTGCTTTCTCAAGGTGGTTACAAAATTCAAGGGGGTAGGGGGGGTTACACAGTGTTTGGCAGCAGCAGTGCTAAACAGCAGTTTATTTCTTCCAGAGGGGGTTAATGCTTGTAGACTACTTACAGCCAAGTCCCTGACTTACACACACTGGGATACTGCCAGCTCAGGGGTCAGATGAAGGCAAGTGAGCCAAAAGGTCTTTAGTCTTTAGAAAAAGCTTGAGAAACATTGATCTGTCTAAAATCAATACAGTCCATTTGTGCCTGCTCCAGAGATGTCTAAAGGCTATGAAGCAAGTCACTCCATTGACTTCACTAGGTTTTCAGTTTTCCTGGTGGGATAAACTTGTGCTATATTTAAACCTTAGTTGCCAAGCATCCTTATGCCTTAGAGGGGAAATCAGCATAAACTGGTGGTGGCAGAAACTGCTGTCTAAAGGCACAGCTCAGGTAAAGACAGTGAAAGAGATAAGAGCTTGGTGTGAAAGTTACTCTCAATTCTCAGTTGTTTGAAACATTTTGTCTTTCAGTACATACAGCCTCACAATACCATGATGATTCATCCTTTTTCCTTCCCTCTTTGTGATTTCCTCATTTATATGTTTGCATTTTTAAGCATGTTTTAAAGAACTTTTCCAGCATGTAAATGGTGTGGATGCCGATGATTGTAATGATTGTTTATTTAATAACAGTAAAGTTATTAAAGGGCATTTCCATTAAGTAATCAGTTTCCACAGAAGAAATTCACAACCAAAAGAAATGGAGCCGAACAGACTGACAAATGAGCGTTTTTAAAGATTGTATAATACCTTCACCACCACAACAAGCTGTAAAGGACCCAGTGGTTAGGAATAGCTTTCAGAAGGCAAGAAGGAAGACAACCAATAAATAATAAATACAATTCTCAGAAAAGAATATGTACTAGTGGGTGGAATATTAAATGGCTTTCTGTATGGAAGAAGAGATTTGATGGAAGAATCTGCCACAGAAGGTCAACAAAATTATATTCAGTCCAAGCAATGTTTAGTCTTCAGTCTGCAGTTTGCATTGCTCTCCAATTTAAGATCCAGATATGGCCATTATCCCAGTGTAAAGCTGGCATTTTGCTATTCACATGAAGGGCATTTTGTCTGTAGTGTAAAAACTGCTGCCACATTAGAAAAGAAGTAGTTTTCAATTTTTACATGTGTAGCACCTGCAGTACCTGTTAATTTCAAGGTTCTGGTTCCTACAACATCTAAAAATCAGATTCATTATTAGCATTTTTCTTAACACTCAATTCCCAGTATTTCAGATAAAACTTGGAAACTGGAATTAGAAAGCAATGTGAGTTACTATGCCAGAAATACATCAGATCCCTTCAACTAATTGTTACCACTTAAAAGCCTCAACTTGTCAATAAATTGTTGGAGATCTTACTGTTCTTACTGTAATGTAGACTTTTTAGCAGATGTTTGAAGAAAACACATTATTAAGAGCTTTTTTGCTGGATATTCACTCTAAATACTGGCAGTGAAGCAAGTCTCCAGGTCAAAACAGTCATTTAAATAATATTGCAAACATGAGCCCCAAGCTAATGTGGCTTGATACAGTGATGAACTACAGCTGCCTTAAGCCTTCCTTTTCAGATCCTGATTTCAAAGAAAGTTAGTTCCTTTGTTAACTGTTGCTATATCCAAGGCAATATTCTGTGTCTGCCTGTGGTTGACAAATTTGTTTGTTTTGCTTAAGATCTAAGAAACTAATTCACCTGAAGAAACAAACCAGCCTTACAGTACCTGAAATCCAGGACACACAAATTAGCACAACTGAACCAGAACTGCAGGCACAAGATGGGGATTACTCTTGTAGAGTCAGTAGGATTTCATGAGACAGACTCGAGAAATTCCAGACAGGTCAGACTGAGGATCCTGTTATTTTTCCCTGAGGCAGCACAACAAAAAGGAACTTTCGCTCCATAGCAGAAGCCTTAAGAGTTGGAATCAGGCAACCGGTTTAACCATTAGCTAAAGATAGGTATTTAGTTGTACTTACCATTTTTAACATTCATTTTTATTGATGTAAGATTCTTGTTTCTTAAAGGTAGAAGAAGGGTAAGATGAAGAAAAAAGAAAGCCTATAGTTCAGAAGTCTTAAAAGTCGAAGCATAACTTTCTCTATTATGTTGGAATTTCCTCTGAATCTGGATACAGTTATGTTTAGTGACTACAGTAAGATTCTCCATTCAGTAGGTCAGCTCCAGAAGACAATTTAGACAACCAAGTCTAGAGACAGTGTTTAAGCCCCAGAGGCATCCTGAAGATCCTCCTCAAGTTCTCCCACTGCCCTTCTCTAGTCAGTGTTTCAGTTGTGACTTAACTAGCACTGCAGCCTCTGAACCTAATCGAGCTCCATAATCTAGGTATTCTTGTATTTCCTCTACGGGCTTTAAATCAAGTCACAGATTCATGGTCCCTTAAAGTCAGGATATAACCCCACACTGGAGTAAAAAGCTGTAGTCCTGTCTTTGTTACCTATGGCCAAGAAAGTACTCACTTCCATGTGGTTGTCCCTTGAGCTGGCAAAAGTGTTTGAACTTAGCTGAGGAACTGATGTGAACTAAAAGGAATCTGGCAAAAAGCATGAAGGCTAGCTTTAACATAGCTTAGTTCCAGGCTCTCGGGCCAGAAAAAGGAAGAAGACAGGTGTAGGAAACCCATGGCTGTTTTAAAGTGGCTGTGGAATCAGGAATGCCTCCTAGTAGGTCAAATACCACACAAATATAGGGGTAGTGCTGCCTATTTTAAAAAGCTTTTGATTAAAACCTGTCTTCTAAAGTAGGAGATGACCCCCCCTTTCCACCAGTATCTGAGGAGACTCAGACCCACATCAGCTCCAGCCAGGTTCACCAGTGGCACTGACAGACAGTCAAGGGGGAAGAAGGTGGCATTCTCATTCCCTCCTGTAAAGGCTGTGCTGTTCTGCATGGAGGGCTTTAGTATTCACTGAGCAGAGAAGAGAGTGGTTGAGTAGTCAGGATATTGATCTAGGAGGAGGGAGCCCCCTCGATTCTGGTCCATGTTCCAAAGGCTGCCTTTGAACCTGGCCTTTTGTGAAAAGAAGGCTTATAAGATGAATTGTCTGTGTTCATCCATCCTTCCATCTATCCTTCGTTGATGAATAACATTGAACACATCAACCAATTTCAACCAAATCTGACAAAGCAGTAGAGGTCTCTAGAATAAGAAAGTCTTCCAATGTAATGAAAAGGGCAACAGAGAAGAGAAGCAAGACCTTAGCAGTGCCCCACTGCACAGAAGAATGTAGCATGATCTCACCTTCATATATCAAAAGTGTGAACACAAGAGAGTGATGTCAGAAACACCACAAGGACAAGCTTTGTTTAGACCTCAGATTTTACTAGGCACCGAAGAATCAAACTCTGATACAGCGATCCATAGGAAAATACTAGAACTTTGATTTACAAGGCTTGTTGTGTATTCTACATTACAGGATTACAGTGCAGAAACCAAGTCTTCTCTGCCCAAGCGATCATCTAGAGTGACTCATCCTCATGCTTTCTCTCTCTTACCTTTTTCTATTGAATTTTTTTTTTTTTTTAATGAAGTGAAACAGTTTCAGTAGCAAAATGCACTCAACCCATGGTAATAATCATAGCTACAGTGCTTCCTCAGGAACTGAGCTAGCTGAGAAACAATCTGTGTATTTTTGGTAGTATTTAATATCAGCTGGAGAGATGCCCTACTCTGGCTGACTGCATGGCCGTATAAGCAGCTGTGATAAGTCAAGCCCAGCGGTGGGAACATATGGCTTAGGACAGCAGTTATTAGGTGGAGGGGGAAGAGCAGGGAAAATGCCAACCCACTCATGAACAGCACATATGGACTGAGAAGGTGCACCTGCAATTCTCCAGATGATCGCTGTGATTTTTAAATATAGTTCCTAATAAGTTTTCCACTATATAGTGTTCCCTATGTAAGATCCCATCACCTGAATTACTGTTACATATGAGTATTGCCAATACAGTCATTAGCAGAGCAATACATTTGTTTTGTGTAGGTGGGACTGAAAATGAGAGAGCACAAAACTTCAACCCTAATGCCTGGGGGATTTCTCTCAGATCGGTAAACATGCTAAGTAGTAAATATTAGAAGAAAAACAGAGATTTTGATGTATTTTGCCCACCTTCCTTTTCCTTTCATGACACCCATTAGTGTGATTTTTCAAAAATCAAATAACACTTTGTGACTTTTCTGAATATGCCCCTAGAGTATGCATGTTACCATATTTAAACCTCAAACCACTTACGGCACATAGTAATTACCATCACGTGAGTAATCTCCAAAGTCACATTATTATGTTGATTCATGCCAATTGGATGCCAAGTCATGTTACTGCCTGAAATAGGCTACATATATTCTAAAACATGCTCAATATTTACATGAATATTCAGTAATTCTCATCAGATGTGGAAGAGCATGTCTTTAAAGAAAGTAAGCTACTGTCCTGCTGGGTTTCAAGTGCTTGGCATAAGCTGCAAAAGTCAGGACAGTTTTCAGTGCAATTATATGTTCCCATCACACATCAGTGGCCGATTTCACTGAGTCACTTTGTAACCTGTAGTTTGCTGGCAGGGGTTTCTGTGAGCTCATCTTTTGAACTTGTTTTCATTTAGGGCAATATTTTTCTCCCCTACGTCAGTGTGAGTTACCCTCTTTCCCTTAATTTTTCCTGAGCTCTCTCAGGTAAAACTATATGCAACATTTGTCATTATAGATACTAACTTCACTTTGAATCTTATTCCCTACACACTGCTCTTACTTGGCTTTTTGGAAGATGCAATCAGAGTTAACTACTCTCACATACAGAGCTACCAGCTCTGAGAGTCAGGTATGAATCACTCAGGTATGAATGGTTCTTCACTTTAAAACCTCTTCAGGATTTTATAAAGTACTGATGTATGATTCTCTTCTGTTGCTTGGGCATGCATTGTCTGTGGTACATACATTTTTGTATCATCTGGTGGTGTTTGTATATATTGTAAGAAGAAATTAAACTTCCTATGTTAAAATGTCCGTTGATGTGCTTCATTATATGAACTGGTATTTTTCATAGGCCAGCTGTTAATGATGTGTTTCCTGGAGAAGTTCTGATTCACATCAGTGGGATGGAAAGCAGCATTAGCAGTCTTACATTAACTTAATTTTCTTTTCCTGTCATTAAAATAAATTGTTTTAAGTGAATTCATAGCTTCTTGAAATATGCACATTTATAACTAGAAAAATTTATGTAGTCATATCCTACAGATATAATCATATTCCTAGAGGGGGTGGTCCAACAGAACTCTGACAAAATCTGCCCTACTATAATTTTAAATTAACTCCTCAGACACCTCTTTTAGTAACTAGAGTGTATATATATGCATGTGTGTGTATAATACACGCATATATATAAGCATTACAAATACAAACAACCGATAGACAAATGAAGAGCATATGTGTGTGAGAAATGAATGAATAATAGAAGTGGAAATTCTTTGAGTTTTTAATTATTTCTCCTACTCTTTTCTGCATAATTGCTATATTTGGTCTGTAGAAGGAAGACTGATTCAGAAACCTACTGTAGTTTTGCCATTCATTCAGTGACTAAGCCTTTACAAGGAGCTTGATATTTTTCTGCTTACCCATTTGGGTTTTAGAATTTTGTTTCTAAATTCCGTATTAATATATAATGTGTATAGTGAATATTAAGAAAAAAATGTTTAATATACAGTTTGTGTGATTCGCATTGAAGTTAATGGGAGGATTTGCCTGAGGTTACAATCTGATATTAATTAAATGCAGCTTTTTACATCATATTCCGCAAGAGCTTGAAGTTAGAGAACAGCACTGGTTGTAAGTTAAAATCTTACTGTAGTTTGTGGTTCTTTTATAGTCATTGCTCAAATTTGGTAGAACTGGTATACATATCTTGTTGAAAATCATTTGTTATCGAAAAATTATATGGAAAAGAAACACTTTCCATTTTGGAAATTCTATTATTTAATTTGCCTGAACCTATTTTCTTGAATGTTACCTTAGCCCTTATTTTTTGATGCACCACGTATGAAAAGCATCACTGGCATCTGCCATCTAGTGGCAAAGTCTTGAAATTAAGAGTACATGGAGAACATGATTCTTACGATAATGTAACTTAATCAAACATCTTGCAAGTATTAGTTAGGAAGCAGACAAAGGCAGAAGTCAATAAAAATGTAAAAGGGAATAATCATATGATTAGTGTCATTTATTGGGTCCTGTAAACTTTGAAAAATCCTCAGTCTATTGAGGAAGAAATCAAGAAAAATAGTTTCAATTAAGAAAATTAGTATTTCTACTAAGAAAACTGTATATTTCTAGCTAGCAGTGGTACAGTTATATTATTTGACATGCATAAAATACACCTTTTCAGAGAATAATGTGATGGATAGCTAAATTCTCATATTTAAAAAGTTGCCTGTAAGAGCAGTTTATATGGATAAAAGAACAGAAGACCAGATTATTAGTATTTCAGCAGAGTCCAGAAATTAATCAGGATCAGGAATCTCCTATGGGACATGCAGGGCAAAGTTAAACCCAGCCTTTCAGAGCCCATGCCAACACTTAGTTTTGCATGCTGTGGCTGAAATTTATCCCCATTGAAGTCAGTGGCAAAATTCAAGCAGACGCTGAATAAAGCCAGCATAGGTTTCTAAGCCAAATTTAAATAAAAATGAGAAATGACCCCATACCTCTTCGACATCCCTATATCAGGATTTCCAGCAGATTTACAGGATACAAGAGACCCAACTCCCAAGTCTTCCTCTTACTTGATTCAGGAGTGGGACTGGAACCTTGGTGTTCCTGTGGTTTAATCCATTCAACTGTATTTTCTTTTTCTCTATGGATGACCAAATGATGGTCTTGACACTGAAGTGGAAGGGCCTCTGACCCCTAGCCTGGTACTAATTTAGTTTACCTTTGTAGCATTCGCCAGGACAGTTTTTAGCAACCAGTGTTATAGGTGTGTGAGACATTTGTAGAAGAAAAATGCTTCGCAGTGCCATTGTGATTGTTCTTCTTTAAAGTAACTTGTAATGTATTTGCAGCTTCATAAAATCAAATGTTTTGCTGTCTTTTCTTTTAGAGAGTGTCATCATTCACCAGTTACGCATGAACTCTAGATGAGTTACCGCCCCCACTATATGCGCTCTGTGTGCACTACCCTCCTTGCCAGTTGGATGGATCACTGTAGAAGCTCTCTACCATCAACACCAGGGTCACTTGTGCTACTGATTATTCATGGAAGAATTTATTGCTTCCATTAGATTTTATATATTTTTTCTTGGTAGAGCTTTAAGAATGAAGGGCCTTGCTGATATTTTGAAACTACATAGAGAGAGAAGCAGTCTTTCTGCCAGCTGAATTTCACTTTTATTTGCAAAGCCACGTGCTTGCTTTTGTTTGATGTTTGCCATATAATTTATTTTTATAATACACTTTGTAAAGTAACTGTCCCAAAGTTGCAATTCCTGTTGTCCGTGGCGCATTTATTTGTAGAATACACTGTCAAATCCACAATTTGATATTTTTGTAATAGAGTATGTAAAGAAAGAAAAATTTAACTTCAGCAATGTTTTGTGTTTAAATGGAAAAATATTCAGCACATTTTTTTGCCACCATGAGATTCTGTGAGACGAAATACTCTGAAGACTGCTGTATGGAATTTGTACTATTGCAGAATATTTCTTGCACTGTGTGATGGTTTGGCATAAAATTAAGTATTAAAGTCCAATGCCTTGAAATGCAACCAGATTTACTCATTTTAAACAATGTAAGCCAGTTTTTAAAGCTGTGATTTTTTTCTATATAATGTATGTTTTTATTTCTGCCTGTACCAAAAAAGTTGATTTTCATTACACTGTAACTAATAAATTTTCACAACTATGCAAATGTAATCAAGTGTTTGAATTTTAACTCTTAATTTCTTAAGGTTGACAGTATTCATATATGTATTTGTTTATAGGGTCAGAATGTATGGCTTTGGAAGTTCCTTCTTCTGACTGGTATCTCACTGTGGTATCACAGTGATGTACATAGTAAAACTGATTCAGTTGTTAAAATACGGAGAGGGATCTATCACCAAGCCCTTAATGACTTAATGGTTTCTAAACTTGTGCTCTCGCTGCATTGGCAGAGATGTTTGACTGGTATGATCAGAATATTTAGCCCTGGACCAGTAGGACTGTATAAATGAGATGCCTTGCACTCTGCCATATGCTGAATGGCACGTTTTACAGTGGTGGCTGTAGCTTTTCAAATAGCATCTAGAGAGTTCTGTGGCAGCTCTACTTAGAAGGATTTTTGAATGAATTATAAAGCTGGATACAACTCAGGCAAGGTCTTTTTTTATATGTTTCGTAATGAATTATTTTAAATCTAAGTCACTGGCACATATTTAAAATACTACAGATTTTTTAATTGCAGAAGCTACTGGGAGAAACTACTTTTTGGAAGGGAAAACAGTGTTGCTTGCAGGAAATATGCTGTGAGACGCCAGAAAGAGTGCATTAACTCAGTGTCCCACTGAGATGACTAGGTCACAGTTCATCTTTGAAGCTGTAATATCGCACTGCTGTGTAGTCAATTTGATCTTCATGGGAGCCATGGGAGCTGCTTTTCCTTCTAGACAGGAATTCTGCAGCAAATGCTGACACTGTAGAGAAGCAGGATATTCTGGGACCCATATAAACTTTCTTGGAGTTGGTCTGCATTGTAAAGAGTTTGCTAATACAGCTACACCGAGTAATCAAAATAAATGCTGTTTATCCTTGCAAAAGAGTAATTTTGTTGGTATAGCTTATGCTTCAACTGGTACACCAAGTTTTTTAAGAAGTGGTTTTTTTTTTCTCATGGCAGACTGTATGCCAATAACATAGCTGTGTCTGTAGGTCATATTTTAGAGTTGAGAAGAATTCCAGCTTTCAGAGAGTAGTACAGCTGAGGTGAATAAAGTTTAGTATGTGCCACATTTCAGTTTGCTGTGCATTAGAATGAACATTGTAATGACCCAGATCTTCCATTTTCAAAGCATTACTGGCAAATCAAAACTTATCCATGTTAACAACTACATTGAGCTCATCTGGAATGAAATTGCTGGCTATTTGAAAGTGACAGTGACATGCCTGAAATAAACTTCAGCTTCGAGTAAGATGTAAGTAAAATCTTATTCTGAAATTGAGTCTGGATTTAAAAGGTCCCAATCAAAGTAGAAAATATTTTTCCTTGTCTGTTTTTTAATATAAAGCCGATTCAGTATATGTGTAAATTGTCCCCTTTTGATTTACGATTCCTATGCAACTATATAAACATTTACGGTTTCGCAAATAACATTAAGTTTTTAAGCTTTACAAAATAAAGGTTTGTTTAAAGCATAAATACCGTTGTGGTGTATTTGAAATAATTTAGATTTTAAAATATTTTTCATGAACTGCAGCACTTTGGAATAGGAGACTGGTAACACTGGTCATAAAAGATCCATGGTGATATACACTATTTCATCACTGATAATGGTTTATGCAGGTAGGACAATAAATTCTGATCTGACACTTGGCAAGCAGCTGAAGTATTTCAGAGAAATGCCTGGAGGATAAAACATGTGCAAAGGGTACTTTGACAGGTGTATTTAATCTTCAATGCATTTATGTTCCTGGTCAATTTTTTCATTACCTAATTTGGATATGAATCTAAAGCAAGTAAAGAAAGTGCATTAGCCACATAATTAGCCAACGTTTGGGGGACACTCAGGAAGAAATCTATTAATATAGACTAAAGACATGATTAATGTCTACAAGTATTGTCATTTTAAAGGAAGTAATCAAGGAAGTGCTTCCAGACTAAGCCAATGTAGAGGCTACCTTGGGCTACAGATATTAGCTTTTAAGCAACTGAAAATCAGTGAAAGATCTACTTTTCTGTTAAAGATCTTACTGTCTGAAGAGGATTGAAAGACCTGTGTTAGTGTAATTATAGGAGATAAAATATGATGTTTCAACCTATTAAAATAAATCTCAATTTGATTTCTAGAGAAAAACTCTACAACCAGTGAGGTTTCCTTTTGCTTCATAGTGAAACATAATTGGACCAAAGAGACAAACCTGCCTGTTTTGTAGAACCATCTCTAATGTAGAAAACAAGATCTAAAATGGAGATTACTGCCCTGACTGTTCCTGAATAACTCTTACTGTGAGTCACTGGGTTTTATCTCTTCTGAACAGTAACATTGAACTTGAAAACTTCATATTTAATGCTTTAAGTAATGTAGATTTGCTCCCTGACAGTTAATGCATTTTATTTGCCTTGCCTGTTCTAAATATTAGGGGTTTTAACTGCATAAGTTTTTATTTAATTAGGGGTTTTTAAAAAGTATTAATTATTTATTTTTCCTATTTACATCTTTTTGTACGCTGTTAAGGGTCATTTTATACCCCTGAAATCAGACTTCATTTTTCAAAATAAATTTCTGTAATTTTAGCATTTAAGTAGTGTGATACATATTTGTTTCTTCCTTACCTTAAAAATGCAACACACTAAGGCCTTGACGATGTAATAATGTCTGTGTAGCACTCATTGCTAGATGAATGCCTAATAAATCAGTTTGCCACTCCACATATTAGAAAAGAAACATTATAAATGTATGTTTTAATAAGTATTTTCCTTTTTTTTCTGTACACATTTGTCTTATAACTGCACACAAACCAATGTGAAGCATATTACAACACACAGCACCTTACTGTAAAATTTCATGAACGTGAAATTTGTTGATTGTACTTGCCTGGACATAAATGAGTTTGCCTTAGCGTAAAACTGTGAAATAATACCCAACCAAGATTTTGGCTTACCAGTGAAAAAGTAAAACCAATATATTGAAGTATTTATGCTGGTATTCTTAATTTCTTTAAAGAATGGAAAATACACCCTGTGATTGCATCCAGTTATCTTACTGAGGAAGTAATTATTTTGGTAAAAAGTCATGCTTCTAATTAACCTGGTTGTTACAGTGCAAAATGTACATGTAGGCCAAGCTTACAGATGAACATAAGACCTTAGACAGAACTGACTGAAGAGAACTAATAGTGGATCTGATCTGTACAATATATTAAATAGTTTCTGTTTCACATCATGCGAGTAGAGATTAGTTCAAACACATCTTTTCAGTTGTTGCTTTGTCAATATGTCAACACTTATTCCTGCATCAGGACTTGTCCATGAGGATTTGTACCATACCACACCTTCTCCTGTTCAAAATCAGACAGTAGCTGGTTTCCTCCGTGTGGAAAGAAGGAAGTTCTGTTTTCTCCTTTTTAAACATTTCCCAGAATTATCCTGGGCTTTTGTGGCCATGGCTACATTAGCATGTCATTTGATACAAATGAACAGATCAGCACATAAAAGTTTTGGGGACCTTTATATCTCCATCAGATATAATTTGAGGTTTTCCCAAACTGGATTTAGCCTGGCCCCTAGACGAAATGTCTCCCCTGCAGGTAGTTTTGAATTTTTTTGAAGGAAAATTTTCACATCAACCTGTTTGCTTGACTGAGGGCCTCTCTGGAAGATCCTCTAGAAATTCCTTACCATCTCACAGCAGGGTTTGTAAACCTGGGTTTGTTCCGTTGGGGTCTCAGGTTGCACCTCACCACATTTCCTGTGAAGCTGTGGAAGTGAAAGTTACTATAGCTGAAGGTGGTAATTAAAAACAAAAGATAATAAAAGGGTGGCAATAGGGACAAGGCATTTAGCTAGGGGGAATGACACCAAAAGGTAGGGCCCACCAGACGATGGAAAGGATAAATTAGGAATGCGATATAGCTTTAGCAAATTGCCACAAAGAATATGATTAATTTTTGAACCCTATATAATTTAGGCACCAAATTAATTCTTAAGTTTTAGATGCTTAAGTGTCCAAATTTCCTGTGCTTCTGAAGAGAGGTTTTTGGTGTCTCCACAGACTGCATTTGCACAAGTCGCTTGCTCCCCCCAGTGGTCTTTGTTGATGCTTTCGATTCTTCAGAGAACTAAACGGCATTTATTTTAGGAAAACTGTTCCACAGGCAACTAAAGTCTTAGA